AGTTCTACAAGGACAAGAAATTCAGGGAGGCCATCGGCAAGTACCACCGCGCCCTGCTCGAGCTCAAGGCGCTGCTGCTGAGCCAGGAGGCGAGCGGGCAGCGCGCTGGGGCCGCGCTCAGCGAGGAGCACAGGCAGGCGGTGGAGGCCATCGAGGTCGACTGCTACAACAGCCTGGCAGGTCAGCGGGGCCCCCGACCACCTCCATCCCCTCGGCGCCCCCGCGCGGCCCCTTTCCCCGCCCTGCTTGTCACGCCGTGGGCGTTTTGTCGCAGTTCGGTGCTTTGTTGCCATCTCCAAGGTTGGCCCCGGAGTGTGCCAGGTGCACCAGCCTTGGCTTGCGCTGGGGCTTCGTGCGCTGCGACGCCGCTGGCACAGCCTCCCCGTGCGCCCTCTGCCCTGCAGGCGAGTGGGGTAGCGCGGGGACATGGCGTGCTCGGGCTTAGACGAAAGTGTGGCCGGGGATCGGGCTGAGAGGCTGGGGAATGGCCCGAGGGTGCAGCGCCTGCTCCCTCAAACCCGCGATGTCCTTCAGTCACTGCGCAGAGCCCCAGTCGCGGTGCTCATAACTAGCAGCAGTGCACAGAGAGATGCCTTCTGTCACATTCGATTGGAGGAAAGGGAAGGGTTTGGGAGCCATTGCAATAGCTACAAATAGTACTAGACACAAAAAGCTTTCTTTCTTTTTTTTTTTTCCTCTTAGCTGCAAAAGTGGATCTCAAATATTAGCAAATATAGTACTGGCTTGTTGCTAGACACTGGTCATGGCTGTGGCCAGGGGACTTTTGATCACTGCTCCTTGGCTCCCTGCTTTCTGTTTTGAACAAGTTCTGTGAGAAGGTGCAAGGGAAGGGTAAGCATTAAACTACCTTATAGCCTGACCCTGAAGTCCAAGACAAAACTCCTATTGACTTAAGCGAGCTTTGCTGAAAAAAGAACTGCAAGATCAGAGGCTATTCTTGTTCCCTGCAACCACACACACTTTTGCTTTCTAAGCTGAAAGAATCTCTAAAAGAAGACCTTGTCCTTAAGTGCATGCAGGATACAAGGTGCTCATAAACTGAAAGAGGTGCACAGCCTGACAAAATTGAGAGGTGTGCAGCCCATAAGGATGAAGGGTCACTTTTCATCCTTTACATCTTTGGGGGAAAAAGATGGCAAAATTAGGGATGTTAGTGTGTCAGCTGTTGCTATCACTTGGCTTTTGGCTTTCTAGACAGATTTGGTTAGCAATGTTTCCTGATTAAAGCAAACAGGGTTTAAAATACCAGCCTAGAATCTTTTCTTCTTTCAATCTATGTTGATCTGTTATCTCCATGTGGTTAGTGGGATGCAGCACAGTTTAAACCCCTTTTATCATGTTTTCAAGTATGCTTCCTTCAAAATACTGTTTAAAAGGCATAGAGAGACAAGTGATATTACACAGTGGTACCATTACTACACAGTTCTAATTTTGTCTCTGAAAATTTCTATCTGCAGGTTTATCAAAACACACTGTAGAAGGCAAGGCTCTTTCAGACTGGCAAGCTAATACAAAGGGCCCGTAATGCTATGAACAATATAGCTTAGAGTGTTCCGCAGTTCAAAAAAATACTCACAGGAAATATCTTTTCTGACTGTCAGTACTGAGATACAAATGAGATGTGGTATCTAGAAGGCAAATGAATTGGGAGGGAGGAATTGGAATTAGCTTCTGTGGCACCTTCTGCTGAGTACACAAATTCCCTTGCTGGAAGTGTTTACACTCGTGCTGACAGGATTGTCCTGCATGGTGGAGGCTGTCCAGCATATGTATTTACTGTTTCTAGTTTGTGCAGGCAATTTTTTTCACTGCTGATTGTATTTGATCCTGTCAGCAGTAGCAGTGAGAGACAGTGGGAGAATGTGTGCTCCATCTTTAACCTACATTTGAGCAGATTTTACCTAAATTCACCAGTGCGAATACCAAGCAGGTATAATAACTCTGGAGTTGTAACTGGTGCTTTTCCTGAGATGAGATAACCTCACAGCAGCTCAAGGTATCATTTTGCACAGACAGTTGTAATATGTTTCAGTAGGAGCAGAGAAAAGATCTTAAGAACAGGGAGGTTTCATGTTTATTTGATGCAGTGTCTGAACATAAGCATTGAAAAAAAACAATGCTGCCCATTGAAGAAGAGGAGAGTATGCAGTTAAACTGAAATTGCAGTGTTGCTACTACTAGCCCCCTTCCACTGTCCCCATTCTAGCCAGAAGCTCCTTGAATTAGTGTCTGAAGGAGGAGTTTTCTCAGAGCTGTCGTAACAGTTATTAAACCTTCCCAAAAGATACTTTGTGAGGTGCTGCAGTGAACCTCTCTTGGGTTATGGTGTGTTCCAGGAGAAGCCACTGGTGTCCTTACACAGCAAGCTCTAGCAGTGGGCTCAGCATCCTGTCTGAGTACAAGTCAGTGTTACTCTTTGTGGGGAAGAGGGGAGATGCAAGTGGTTCTACTTCTGAGCACTGGACATGTGCCTAGAGCTGGTTTTAAAATAAATAAGCTGCAGAGAGCATAGCAGCAGTACATGTTAATTCTACAGAAGGCAGTTTTTGACTTAGCTATGATTTGTACGCGGTAGAATTAGCAACTGTCATCAGAGTGTCCCTTGTTATCACATTCTGTTAGCACCTCTATGTACTCTCTAAGCTTAGCATCTAAGAAGCCCACCTTGGTTTTGAATTGCCACTTTTCAACTGGCTACCACACTTTCGCCTTTTGGAGATGTTCTGCACCATAAATTTAGATGCATGCATACACACACACACACAACTTGCATATTTAGAAACGTTATAGCAGTCGGAGGGCATCATGTGTAATTAATTATATTCTTAGACAAATAGGCAGGTAGAAATTGTATACCGGAAAGGGATTTGGGGTAATCTTAGAGGTGAAGGCTGCGCACACAAACAACTGCAACTGGGGTTGACTTTTTTTTTTGATGTAACAGTGACTACCTGAGTAAGAACATGTGGGCAGACACTAAATTGTTGTCAGTCCATTTGTTGCCTTGTAGAATGTAAATTTAGGCACAAACATGCCCACATGTTCTTGTTTGATTCTGCTGCTTTTGTAGAGCACCTCCAACAAGGGTTCCTTGTACCGTGAGACAGAGCACCCAACTCCTGTTTAACCAGTGGTGCACAATAGTTGAGTCTAAACTTTAAGCTTTTGTTGCTCCTTGGCACTCTCACAACTGTAGCTATTCAGCTCAATTCAAATAATTCTAATCTGTTAGTTTGTTTATTTATTTATTGGCCTAGGATTTTTCCACTGCCTGCCATTGCTAGTAGTGCTCATTTCTTTTACTAGGCTTCCAACCAGGAACTCGCCTTCACATCTGCAAAGTGCAGTGCTGTTGTATTACACAGGCCTGCCAAACTCCCTCCACTTTAAGTCTTTTTGATAAACATTGCCAGATGGAAGAACAGTAGTGATAGCCACAGAAAAATCATACCAACAGCAGAGAGGCCTGCAGAATGGATGTGGGCTATAAGGCAAAGACAGCCATTGCTTTATGAATCACTGACTTGTCTCTGACCTTGAGGAAGGAGGAAATCACTTGACCTCTTTTTGCCTATCTCAGCCCAAATGTAAACAGAACAGGAACCACAATCCAATCCCAATGGTGCAATCAGTTGAGTTTCCACAAGCCAGTGGGGTTTTTTAAATTATTTTTTAAGATATTTGTATGAAGAATGCATGCAGAAAACCAAACTGGTCAAATATCACTGATGTCTCCTCCCCACTCATAGAGCATCTTTTGTCTAGAAGAATTTTAAATGGTTCATGAACTGCATGCAGGTAGGGATCACTTACCAACTATAAATGCAACCACTGCTCATATTAAATGCAATGATTGCTTTATTCAGCCTCTCCACTAACAGTTTACAGGATCAAAAGGACTTTCTGCTCTGCCCTAGTCCTTCCAAACCACCAAAATGCTAAGGGTAAGCATAGTTTTAAGCTTATTCCTATGAGGGAAAGTTAGTGTGATAAGCAAATGTTTGTGAGCTTGCCTAAGCATGTAGAAATTCTAGAGCTTGTCCTGGCTAGAGGAACCCTAGAGAAAACTAGAAAGAGAACCAGAGATAAAAAGCTGTGGATTAGGAATGGTAGTGGATACTGGAGATCTAGATTTTTTTATCCTGCCTCTCTGTACTAACTGATTTATCATCTGATTACTTCCTTTCGTTTCTTAGAGTCTCAGTTCACCTATCTGCATTTATATCAATTCAAGTGCTTTTAGCATATTATAGGAGTCCTGGTAGGAGGGCACATGTACCTGCAGAGTATTACAAAATATAGCAGTCCAAGATACCTCTCAGCCTGGATGATGAGGTTCGCCCATGGACACTGGCAGAGGTGTTCACTGCTGCCATCAGGTTTGCATGCTGTCAATTTGGCAAAAGTCAGTGTCACAAAACATACCCGTTACAGTAGCATAGGAACCTCCAGCACCCACCCTTGGATTCCCAATCAGGGTGTAGGTACCACTCCCAACAGTCAGCAGTCATGCAGACTTTTGTGACTGGTTCCACTGAGTTAACCCAACCAAGAATATGACTGAACATGAGAAAAGCTGATAAAACTCATCTCCCCTGACCATCCACCAAGAGTTCTCACAGGGAGTCTCTTCTAAAATCCCGCTTACAGGATATAGCAGTTTACAAGTACAGACTCTACCAGGGCAAATGGTTCTGTGGGTGTTAGAACAGTACTGGATTGCTGCTTGCTGTGAAGTTTTTTAATCTCCTACATCAACAAAAAACACCCTCTCTAAGAGTGTCATACAATGTGAAAGGAAGACAGTCAGCAGCAAGTAAAAGCAGGATGTGGTCTGCACTCCGACTGATAGAGATGAGAGTTTTCTTACACTCTTATTTTAGATCATCTACCCAGCCAGAGTCCTTGGGAATATCTGACTTACAGATACAGTGTCTGCCTGATGCAGACACTGCTCCAGGTAGGTACAATTGCAGGCACAGAAAGAACACATGTGACTATGCATAGTATTTTAATGATAGCCCCCAAACCTGCCGCATGATTAAAGTAAGTGGGATTAGAAGTCATTGCCATGAATTGAGCTGTGGAATTGCTCTGTACTTACCTATATCTTTTTGTTATGGAGAACAAAGATCTCCTTGTTCAGGCAGCAGTTTCTT